TTTCTCACATGGCCTGAAGGTCCTTTGCAAACTCTAACAGCTCAATCCCCTCACCAGGAAGTCAGGCAAGCGAGTAAAATGCTTTTTCACTTTACAGGTAAAAGGCATTTCTGAGCACACAGCATACCGAGGGGAGAGAAAAAAAAAAAAACACAACAAGCCCCCCCACCCCGGCCACGTTTAGTTTCCCCAAAAATAGATGTCCACAAAGCAGTAGGCAATAAACAAATCCTTACTGCAACCTGCGATTAATGTCCTGTCACTGTATCTCTCAAAGACCCTCTGCAGTGAGCGCTGCAGCAGGAAACAAACTGTGGCTCACAGGGAACCGATTGGTTTCCTATGCAGAAGGGTGACCAGAAGAAAGGGGAACTGCTGACTCATTTGATTCCCAGAGAGAAGTATAGGAAAACTATGATCCTCTATTCCCAAAATAGACAGCCTCTACATCTTCAAAATAGCTGGAAAAACGCGTTCGCTGGGCACCGAATCGGCAGCTGCTGTGTCTGACACAAGCTCACATGCTACCAACACCTCAAGGTGGGAAATGATTTTGCAGTGACTACAAGCAGTCGACACCTGCATCCAAGGTCACGGCCAGGCCTTAGGATGGGATGTCACACGTGCAGGTGTGAACTCGTGCAGCCAAATCCTCACATGCAAGTCAACTGTACTCGAAGGCTCAACACCGACTCCTTCTCCTGCTACGTAACCTATTCAGATTCCTCTATGGGCACATGGTTCAGGTTCTCTCAGTAGCTCACATGCCAAACAAGACTCTACTTTTTTTAATATTAAAAAAAAAAAAAAAAGGGGTCACAAAACCTCATCTAAGAATCCTCCTGAGTTCAGCAGTGACACAAAGGCATCGTGATGCTGTGCAGCACGACACCTGTGAAATGACAGCAATTACTCCAAAAGCAGTTGCCAGAACCCACTTTCCAAGTTGCAAGCAAATGGACAGCTAAAATGTCATCTTCTTAGCATGAGCTCCTGGTGCTGCTGGAGGAGGTGGAGGCAGGAGTAGCGAAGAATCCGTGACAGCCAGCGATGACCTGCAAGGATCCTGTGTCCGGAGCAGTGAGGAAAGGGGACACGGTGAGGACAAGAAGGTACAGGTGCCAGCCTCACTTCACAAACCTTAGGAAACATCAACACAGGCGCTACAGATCACACACTGGTTGAAATGCAATTTAGAGTTTGTGCCTTGAGACCACGGGCTGAATTTTAGTCAGCAGTTAAGAGGCCAAATTTTGTCCCGGTACCCATTTTTATACCTGCTGGGCTTAAACGTTGCTTTCAGACAGCACATCAGAACCACCGAGGAGGCAAATTAGATGCCAGTCTATTAAAAGAACCAAGTACAGCACATCATGCCAAGCAGGGTGGAAATAGTCCAACGTGAAGTCCTCTTCAGCCACACAGACACTCATCTATCACTTTCCTTCTGTGCCATCAACATTCTGGGATGGGGCAAGACAGCAGGGAGGATTATTTGTCCTCTATTTCTTTATTTAATACATCTCTAAGTCTCTGAGGAGTAAGACATTTCTCAGGGAAAAAGTACTGCAGCCATTCATTTGTATTCTGGCATGTGTCAGTACACAAATAATACTGCCCAGAACAAGGCTGGCAGGCAAGAATAGTAACGCAAAGCCAATGAGCTAATGGTTACCCAGAATCTGGAAAAAAAAGTAAAATAAATCCAGTCATCCTACACTAAAACATACACTGTAAAACAGCACCCAGGATAATCCAGTTGCCACATTCTGAAGTGAAACTTGGGGATTATCAATGCAGGAAGAGTTAAATGGAAAAGATCAAAGACCGACCGTCCTACAAACAGTGATGGGCAACCTCATCTCCAAAAGGACACTCCAATGGCCAACAGACTTGCCAAGGACTGCAGAGACCTGAGCTCAACTCTCACTGCTCTCCCAAGCAGACACAAAGCTGATCCCACGTGAGCACAGTTTATAGCTGGGATTGTGCCATTCAAACATCTGCAATTCAAAGGCACCGTTTAATCCGATGGCCAAAAGTTTCCAGAGACAGTCAGCCATCACACAAAGTACAACGTGCTTAGAGGGCAGGAAGTTACCGCTTCATCTAACTGAACTTGGGGCTGAAATAGAGAAGAATTGACAAGACTGTTAAGGTAGAAAGCTTGCTAAGAGAGCTATCAGCTACGTAGCAAGGAAATTTGCGGCCACTGCAGGTATTATAAATCCTGCACTAAAATCACAGTATTTACTTCCAGCGAAAAGAAGCGCCATCTCCACAGGAGAGTGGTTTTCTTTTTCTGCTGTGAAAATGCTATAAAGCAACCACACACCTTATTCTGCCCTAACAATTTAAACAGAACACAATCAATTCCTTGCCTTGATGACCATTCACACGCCCCATCGAGGGGACTGAAGAACAGCGAGGTACCACTCATCAGGTGAGCCCAGTGGCACACACATCCCTGGTCCACTGCGACCACAAATCATAAAGAAGATGGTTTAAACAAAATGCATTCTATTGCAAGCAGGAGAACATACAAAATGCAAGCAGGAGCACATACACTTTCTCCAATCCTGTGCACCGCACCTCAGGTGGCAGCGGGCAAGGCGTTCTGCTGCACTAGCAGCCGTGGGGAGCCACCCGAAAGATCAAATGGGGTATCTCAGGGTGACAGCAGATATAGAGCTCCGCGGCCGCGAAGGCACGACAAGGCAGCCCACACCTCGGGTGATTCAAGCCACTGTGTTTTACCACTGACCTCGCAATAAGAAAAAAAAAAAACGCACCTAACAGAACTTCAAAGCGCAGGGAACGTGCTTGTGCGAAGCACATCACGGAAACAAGCAGATTCTAGTAACTACCACTCAAACCTGCTATTACTGCTTTGGACTTTTGGGCGAGGATCTTGCCAGATCTCCGAGGGAGACAAGCCTTGCCCTGTTTTAGAGGAGGACACAAGATGAAAGGACATGCCCAATGTCACCAAGCAAGTCATCAAGACAAAAAGAAAATGGACCCCATCTCTTGCCTTCAGCATTTTGCTCATCTTTGAAACCACACTGTCACTGCTGAAACTCCACTATGAATCTGCTCTACTAATGAAGAAACTGAGACAAGAAAGGGACAATTTCTGGGCCACGCTCACAAAACAGGTCATCAGCAGAGCAGAGGACAGGCACCTCAGTGCTGACAGCGTGGCATCTCATCCCTGCTGGGCTGAGCTGACCAAGGCCATCATTATTTCCTGAATCCTGTCTTCTGACACTATTTCCAATGCACAGTGCTGAGACGTTAGTGGGAGTGGAGTCCCCGAGAGTGTTTTATTGGGAAGATCTGCAACTAAAGCAGTCTTGCCCTCCATACAGCCAAGAAGTGCCGTGGCTCAAAGCTCCTGCCCATCACACACTCTTCTCCAGCACTTTCCACGCAATCCCTGTCTGCCAATGCCAGAGACCCCTTCATCTTGCCCTTATCCCACTGTACCCCTAAACCCTCCATCACCCTCAGCCCCCATCATCTCCTACCCACCTCCCTGAATCGGACAAAACTCCTTCCTCCACTGCCCATGTCCTGACCCATCTCCACGGGTGCTCCATGACCCCTTCCCCCCGACCCCATCCTTACCCTCCCACCTGCCGCCTTCTCCTCATTTCTCCACCCTTCTCCCATCTGGCCTGGATCCCCCACAGCTCCTTTCCCCACCACCCTTTGTTTTGACTCGTCTCCCCTGGATCCCCCATATCCTTTTTCACTAGTACCACCCCCCACACTGCATACTGCTCATCTCCTCTGGATGCTACACAACCCCCGTCCCCTTAACCTTCCCTAAATTTCCCCGTTCTCCTTTCGCTTAGCACTACCCACTTCCCCTGGATTCTCCACAATTTTCTTCAAATCAATCTTCCCTAAATTCCACCATCCCCTTCCCCTGCTTCCCCCAATCTTCCCTAAATCCTGACAACTCCTTCCCCTGTCTTTCCTGAACATCCCTCCAATCCCCTTTCCCCTGATCTCCCCCAGCCTCCCCAGGATTCCTCACCTCTCCGGCTTCCCCTCCAATCTCCCGCGGATCCCACCCCCGTCACCTCTCGCCGTTAATCCCCAGCCTTTCCTCGATTCTGCCGTCTCCTTCCCCAGCACCCCTAAATCTTCCCTGACTACTTCCCCCAACGCTTTCCCTTCTATCTTCCCTAAACACCCCGCGACCCCATTCCCCTTGGTCCTCTCTAGTCTCCTCTGGCTCCCCGTCCTCCCTCCCGCTCCAGTCTCCTTCACCCTTATCATCCCCGTCTTCCTCTGGATCCCCCCCATCTCCTTTCCTCCCCACTGGTCTCCCCAAACTCCCCAGCCCCTTTCTCCGGGCCCCCCAATCTCCCTCAGATCGCCCCCCCCAACCTCCTCTGGACCCCGCCTCGTCTCCTTTCTTCCCCCTGCCCCCCCCTAGTTTCCCCGGACCCCCTCATCTCCTTTCCCCAGCCCCCTTCATCTCCCCT